AATAAATTATGCTAAACAAACAAATACATAAATATACAAATGCTATATTATAAAAATAATCTATGCTAATGTTTTTTATAAATCTTTCTATATAATAAAGCAGTACGAAACTGAAAATCAATTTGGCAGTAGGATATTATCCAAAAAAAAAGGAAAGGAAAAAAAATAAAAATTAAAATAAAATTTTAACATTTAAAAAACATAATTAAAACCAAAAACTAACATAAACCAAAAATTAAAATTAATTAAAAATCAAAAACTAACATAAACCAAAAATTAAAATCAATTAAAAATCAACAACTAACGTGAACCAAAAATTAAAATCAATTAAAGATCGAAAACTAACATAAACCAAAAATTAAAATTAATTAAAATTCATAAATTAGCTAAAAAGTATGGATGAAAAATGGGAATAATATTTGAGAAAAAAAAATTATTATAAAAAATTGAAATTATTGAAAAAAAAAAACTTCTTAATAACATTTATTATTTTCAAAAATTTTGAAATGAATACAAACATTTTGAAGTATTTGTCGCTCATTCATTGTCCAAATAAATCCTTCAATTTTTTTTCTTTTAGTATCATCAAACATATACATTGCTATTGGAAATAGTATCGTACATAATTCATAATACTTTTGCGCCACAGCCATTGACATAGCAGAAACGATAAGTTCAAAACCACAAAGCAAAAAAACGGCATATTTATAAAATGGTGGCAAATAACCACCCCATTGAAATAAATATGCTTTCATTTTAATACCTGCAATTAATTATATTATGCTAATTAATCGATTACTTAAGGTAAAAAGAAAAAAAATTATAATTATTTTTTATTTTGTCGCAAATAAACAAACAATTTACATGTAATAAATGAAAAAAAAAAAAACGAGAAATTTAATTAACAATTTAATTAGGTATGATAAATAATTAATTATATTAGTATTTGATTGTTGAAGAAATTTATGCATCAATTAATTACTACCAATTAATGAATTAACAAATTATAAACAAAAGTTGATGTGGATTTTTTATTTTAAATTTAAAATTTTGCATTACCATTTAAATTTCAAATGTTGCATTCCCAATTAAATTTATTAATTTTAATTAATTATTTCATAGGAAAAGCTAAAAAAAAAATTTACTGCAGAAGATTATTTTTTAAATTTTTATAACTAACAATTCAATATATTTCATGTTATTTTTCATACCTAACTTTTTCACTTCTTTGTTTAATTATTTAATTACCAGTTTTTTTGCGCAAAAAAAAAAGCATATGTGTGGAAAAAAAATGTTTGATTATTCGATCAAAAAAAAAAAAAAGACGAATAATTTTTTTTTAATCACTAATAATTATTTTAACTTAACCTTATTTTTTTAAAATTTATTTGCTGTAAAAGTATACTATTGAACAATTTTCAGCAATGAAAATTGCCGATAAGATAAAAATAAAAATAATAATTTAAAAATGATTTTAAAGAGGTTATTAATCTTTTTCAGAAATTTCAAATAAGTTAAAATGATAATTTTTAGGCGTTAAATGATAACATTTCAAAAAAATTTCATCAAATTTTGTAAAAATTTTTTTTTAAATTGAAAAAATTACTACAAATGTGAAATGAAAAAAAAATATCGTTCTATGCAACTACACAATCAAAATATATTATTAAACAATTTTTAGCAATGATAATTGCTGATAAGATAAGAGTAAAATTGATGGGTTTTTAATCAGAACAATTTTTTCTTCTTCAATCAATAGTACAATAAATTATGTCAAAATTTCATGAAAAATTTTAAATCGAAAATTGAAAAAAAACGAATTTCAAAAAGAAAAATATTCAGAAGACATGAAATGATAATAAATGTTTAATTTGAATTTTGAAGAATTTCTCATTTCAAATTTCCAGTCAAGAATTTCAGATTTTAATTTCTAAAATTTTTTCAAATTTTTCAAATTCTTTCACTACAGTTTAATAGTCAGTTAAATAAAATTCAACGACGTCTTCTTTTTTTTTTTCGAAAATTATCAATAAGATATTTGCTATCAATATTTATTAGACAGTATCCGATTACTTGAAATAATATTTCAACCGATGGTCAATAATATTCGGAATATTTTATCTGGTAATATTTTTTTTTCTTTTTTTAAGGCATACGAATAAAAGTTTACAGATGTCACTTGTCACTACTTCTTTACTTTCGAACCATTTGTTATATTTAAATTAACATTAATTTTAAATTAATCTAAGCATTATTTACAAATGCTTTCCTTTTTTTTTTTTGAAAAAATCTTTATTTTAATCTTTTAAATATTTTTGTAAAATTTACTTTTTTTATTTATCAAAGTTTTTCGATTAGAAAATTTTATCAATGAAAAATTAAAAATTGTTTCGTAAAAAATTTAAAAGTACAAATATGCAATATATGTTATCTCATCTATTGAAATCTTACCCAATCAATTATAACCATTTATAACTTATGAAACTCCAGGGTATAATGTTTTCTTCCTCATATGACGGGAAAAAGAAAAGCGGGGAGGCGGAGAGGCGGGGAAGCGGGAGGATATGTTAAAGGGACAAAATATTTTATGAGAGTCAACCGTATGTAAACAATTCATAAACAAGTTTTCATTTATTGACAAATTCATGCAAACATTCTATTCCATGATTTATGTTTTGTGTGCTATCAAAGGGGAGAAGGGAGGAAAAAAAAACGAAACTTTTCATTATTTTGTTTCTTCATAAAATGATTATTTCATTTCCAGTATTTCAATCCTTCTCGATTTCTACTGATTGATAAAGATTAAAACAAAACGACCTTTATCAATCAAATCACTTCTCAAACAAACAAAAAAAAAACCATTCATTTTAAATTAAAAATCGATCAAAACTTTTTGTACATCATAATGAATTTATTCATAATACTTCACTTTTCTTTTTCTTTTTTTAAATTTTATATTTATCATTATATATCTGTATCCTATGCTTATCAATTGTTTGATTTTGTTATCAATCTGTACCAAATCTTTTCCATTTTGATCAGTTTTTGTTAGATTTAAAAACTTATTACTGATGTTACTTACTAGTTAAAAATTATGCTAACATTGTAAAATTAGCAAATTTAATAAATTCAAAAAAATGAATTTTTGCAAATTTTGAAAAAAAAATATGACAGATTTCGTTATATAACAAGTAAAAATATTGCATCTATAATGAAAAAAAGAAAAGAAGAAAACGAAAAATTATCCAAAATTTAAATATTCAAATATGCAAATGTAATAAACTATAAAATAAAAAAAAGAGGTAAGGTTTTGGAATTGGATAAAATTAGAAATAATCAACAAAATAAATTCACCATAATTTTCCCATCATTAGAAATCGATCATGTCATGTCATATTATGTAGCTATGTTGTCATCAGGATTATCCGGGTATTTGCTGATAATTTCAAAAATACTTAATAATGATTATCCCAAAGATATTTCGCTCGGTCTCATCGTTAATTTTACTAACGATAATTAACAATTCTAATTAAGAGTTCTAATTAATCTGTATTTAACCTATGCCAATATTCGCAATGTTTCAAGACATTAAATTGAGACTTTTGGATGAATCATTTTGAATTTTGCATTTTTCAATTTAAAATTTATACTTAATCATTCCTACTATTGCATCATATTAAGCAGTTAAGTCAACTTTAAGTCAATCCAATTAAATCAGACAAAATTTTAAAAAATTTTGTGATAACAATTGAAAGTTTATCACAGCAAAGTTCGTAATTTGAAATGATAAAAAGTTTTTTCGCATTAGCTTATCAGTTTTTATCCAAGCCTAAGTATTGCATACAATGTGAAATTTATAAAAGAATATAAAGAAGATTAATAAAAAATTAAATTAAATTTTGAAAAAAAAAAACTCATGCAAAATTTTTCAAGAAATAAAATAGAATTTTACTAAATCAATTAAAAGATAACATAAAATTAATTAAAAGATTACACAATGATAACCTAATATATTATTAAATAAAAAATATTTGGAACAAAAAAAAGAAAACAAAAAAAATTGAAATCTATATAATTTAAAATTATTTAAACAGAAAATTACCATTTGTATATCATTGATTATATCAATATCACTCTTTTTTGTGTAATAAAAAATTCTCAAAAAATAACACAATTATCATCATTTCACTTAAAATTATAATCATTTTAATCATTACTAAATTTATTAAATTAAATACTTCGTTATCGATTATATGATTTTTTCAATTATTAATATATTTTGTAATTATCATAATTAATAATAGCATAAATAAATTGAATTTTTTCATTTCATCAAATGCTATAACCTTCAAAGATAAACACTAATAAAAATTTTAGCATATATAATTAACCTCTACGTAAGTTTACCCTTAACATACGAAAAAAAGAAAAAAAACTTTGCAGGTGAAATAATTAACATCTTCATGACTAAATTTTTAATAAATAAACAAAACAAATTTACGCCTCAATAATTAACTTCTACATGAATTAAAGGTATATGAATAATAAACAGAAAGAAATTCATGTTATCAATAATTAACATTGAGGTGAGCTAAAAGTAAACAAGTTCAAAAAAAGGAAAAAAGGAAATTTGCAAATTTATCAATAATTAACATCTAGGTGAGTTCAAGGTAAATACGTTCAAAATAAAGACAAATTTACATATCAATAATTGACACCCAGGTAAGCTAAAGGTAAATACGTTCAAAATAACGACAAATTTACATATCAATAATTGACACCCAGGTAAGCTAAAGGTAAATACGTTCAAAATAACGACAAATTTACATATCAATAAATAGTATCTATGTGAATTAAAGATAAAATAAGCACAAAAGAATATTTTTATTATCACAAAAAGATTTATTTATTTGTGAAATAAATAAATAAAAGAAAAAAGGTGAAAATTCATTTATTTCTTCAACTTTTATATGTTTATCCAATCATTCGATTTGAAAATGATAAAAAGAAGAAAAAAGAAAAAGAAAATCGATTTATAACTAATAACCTTTTTCATAAATATAATAATTAAATTTTATTTGTAAATATTTTAATCAATTAC